CCAGGGACCCTTGTCTGAAAACACTGGATTTGTGGATCTTTCTGGAAGGTTGCAAATGCAAAATGTTTTTGTTTAGACTCGTCTTTTTTTTGGTGTGTAAATTTAAATTGCATTTGGCAGTTAGACTGAATTGTTGGATCTCAGCTCAGTTTATGCGTTTGTTCATCAAATATGGACAAGCTGCTACACACCAGACACCGTTTTAGGCTCCGGGACCCGGCGATGCGTAAGAGAACCCGGCCGTGCTCCCGCGGAGCTCCTGCCTCTGCCGGCAGAGCAGGCGCGATGGGTCTGGGGGTCTCCGGGATGGCGTGGTCAGTGCCGGCTGCGGCCCCTCGCCAGGCCGGGCCTTCAGGACAGACGACATCTGCCAGCCTGCGGGGCCGGGGCAGCGGGACAGCCATGAGACCGTTTCTCACACTTGTATTTTTTTTCTCTTAGGGAAAAATTGGAAGAAAAAGCCAAATTATATGAAAAAATGACGAACGGAGACTTTATCGGTAAATACGGTGATGTATTTTTACTTCAATTTCTGTAATTTGCAGAGCCCTTTGGAATTCTGTTATTTGTTGAAATAACTAAGACTGGGGAGAAATTTTAAAAATCCAATCAAAATTTTACTCTCCGTGGCCGCACCAGGACGAGAAAATCCGCCGTGATTCACTGGTTGTCTGGCGGGCGCTGGGCGGTGCCGGGTGCTGGGCGGGGACAGAGCAGTGGTGGAGGCGGATTCTCCGCTCTCTGCAGCCGGCGTCCGTGCTCATGGAGGAAGCTCCAGCACCGCACCCTAAGTCCAGGGTGGCGAAGTTCCTCGTGGACGGGGCTCGTGGCCGCGAGAGCCGCCTGGGTTAGGCCAAGTTCGGGGTTCTCGTTTCTCCTCCCGTGGGCTCAGCTCCTGCAGCAGGTCACGAGCCCCAGGACAGACAGACGTCTCGCGTCTCTGTGCCCTGCAGAGCCTGGCTCTGGGCCTCGCCCGGAAGCGGTGCTCGTGGGCTGGGAGAGAACTCGTGGGGCTTCCTCTGCCCGCGTTACGGCCTGTAAACCGGCCACTGCCCCACGGCGGCACACTCAGGGTTGGGAGACCCGGCCCGCGTGATCAGAGAGGCGTGTCGCGCCCAGACCAGAGAAGGTCCGCCGTCCCGGCGCGGCGACGTGAGAGGTGCGGTTCTGCTGTGCGACACGATTGGCCGGATGAGCCGCTCTAAGTCAAGCCGCCGCGTCATCTCAAAATGACATTCCGAGACGGCCTCGTACGCTCGGATGGCGCACGGATGAGGCGGCGGAACTCTTTAGGGTTTTAAAGACTTTTTTGCGTGGCGTGTGTCGGTCCCTGGGGCAGCCGTGTCTAGCACACGTTTCAGGGGTGGCGGAGCTGCCAGGCGGGGACGCGACTGCTCGTCCCTTCCGTGCGTGGCTTTAATCTTTGGCGTCTACAGATGGGTTTTTCTGCCCTAGATGAAGAGGTGGAGGACGTGTACCTCGTGGACTTCACACAGAAGATCTTAGACAAGCGCCGGGAAGCGGAGGCGCCGGGCGCCGGTGGAGAGTCTCGGAAGGCGGGAGACGGGGACGACGACGAGGAGAACCTTCCGGAAGAGGACGTCCCTGCTCCCCGAGACCCCAGCGAAGAATGGTTGGTAACGTCACGGGTTAGGTCGGGGCGATGGCGTCAGGCCCGCGTGGACCCTTTAGCGTGATCTCGTTTGCTCGTTGCCGAGCTGTTCCCCTCGTTCTCCCCGGGCTTGCGTCTGAGGCTTCTCCTCAGGCTGGTTTGGGTCAGGTTCCGACAGCTGTGAAAACAGCTGGTGCAGCGAAGAAATAGTTACGATAGTTACACGTAGCGACGAGCTCCCGCCGCGTGACGGGCCCGCGAGGCTCCACGCCGAGAGAGAAGCTCGCTCCTTTATTCCCCGTGCCGCCGCCTTGCCGGTGTCTGACCGTCTGCGCCGCGCGGGGAAAGGGGCCCCGCCATCTGGGAAGAGGCAGCCGGCGACCCGGGGCCTCGCTGCCACCCTGGAGGTGGTGATCTGTGTCCAGCAGCAAGAAGCTGGCGCGGTCCGCACGGCCCGGCTCCCGCCGCGACCTTCCTGGGGGGTGGGGTGGACGTCGTGGGCCTCGGCCGGCTCCGCCTCGCGCTGACGTCTGACCTTTGACCTTCAGCACGCTCCTGGCACGCTGGGGCTCAGTCCCCTCGCCTGTAGCCGTGACAGTGCCTTCAGCTCCCTTCCGTGAGTAAGCGTGTTCTGGGCCGCGCAAGAAGCTGCCGTCTGTGGAGTGTGAACAGGTTTTTCATAAAAGCTTCCTGCTGAAAGTTTCCTGAGTTTTACCCACAGGCGGGTGCAGGGTGCTGGAACCAGGGGAGTCTCATCCTCGCAAAGAGCCCGGCGTGCGACCGAGTAAAGAGACCAGAACGGAGATTCCGTCGCAGTGATTTTCTCTACCTGAGACGCCGTGGTTCAGGAGCGCGCTCAGCAGCGCTCGACGTTGCTGGAAGACGTGCTTGCGCTCGATGGTTTCTGGGCACGTGCCCGCCTTCCCTCCCTCTCGCCTACTCGCTCTCCCCCCAAGGCTCGAACGTCCTTGTCACGGGGCTGTTTGTTGGGGACAGCTCAGGACCGTTGGCAGCCTACGTTGACCTCTGGTCAGCCTCGGCCCTGCGGGCAGAAGAGGGAGCCCAGCCACCGAGAGCGGCGGGGAACCGCGTCTTGATGCCACCGTGGCCGCCACGCCGGTCCAGAAGCAGCATCCTCGCTGGGCTAAAACAGGCGTCTTCTCACCTGCCTGCTAGAAACTTACGTCCAGCCGGGCGGCATTCGGGGTGGGCGCCTGGCCGCGTGCTGCGGGGAGCCGGAAGGGGGGACGGGCAGCCTCCCCGTCGGCGCCGCGCTTCCTGGCTTCAGTCTGAGGGCGGCTCCCTCACCGGAGGCAGGTAGCGCTTAACACGCTCCTGCTCGTTGGGTCTTGCCGTTTGTTTGCCGCTGACGCGTGCTGGGCTTCCTTACCAGACAGGTGCGAGGCAGACCCTGGTCCTCTTCGTGTCCTGCCTGACGTCACAGGCCCTTCACAGCACGTACCCGGCTGTCCCCCGCAGCCCTCGGGAGACGGCGTGACCCGCAGCCTCCTCGGGTGGGACTCAGTGGGCTCGCGGGGTCGCTCGGTGAGGGGCGGCTGACGAGACGGAGCAGCTGCCGGCTGCCGTCCTGCCGCTTCCGCTCCAGCGAGAGTCCGTGTGTTCTGCAGGCCTCCTCCGGGAGCAGAATGGGCCGTGATTGCTTTTCAGAGCAGAAATCTCGTCTCCTTTGAAAGGTCTGATATTGTCTTTCAAATTTCTGCTTATTAATGCCCGTATGATTACAAGCAATTTGCCAGTGATTTGGAGAGTGTGGAGGGCAATTGAAGGTGTCACATGCCCCCATATGGTGCAGGAAGACGCATCGCAAGCAGTTTTGACACTTTTTTTTGTTGTTTTTAAAATAAGCTCTAGAATCGTAACTGCCTGTAAAATCCTTTCAGCGGTTAAATTCCAGGTGGTGGAAAATCGTTCCGCAAAAATACTGTAAATAATTACACAGACCATCTGGCTAGATGGTTCTCTTCCTCCATTCATTAAAAAAAAAAAATGAAGAAAGAAACTGCTTTCTGCAGTTGGAGGTTTTATTTCTTGTGATAATCGGCTTCAGAACTGAAGTAACGGATTCCCAAACACTCAGTTCTTAAATCACGGTTAACGACTGAAACCAGCATCGCGCGAGAGGGAAGAAGGTGGTAACAAAAGCAGACCCACACGCGCGCCAGGTCTGACCTCGCGTTGGTCTAACCGCTGGCGCTCACGGGCCCCGCACTGTCTGCGCAGCACCTGCTAAAGGCTGGGGGACATTCCCTGCCCATCATTTAAGAAATAAAAAAATCCGTTGCATCGTAATGCAGAAGAAATGTTGTTCTTGAGAATCTGTCCACGTTTCCTGTTGTAGGAAGTCAAAATGTTCCACGTCGCTTGCCGTCCTCCCGACGTCCCTGCCCCTGCCGTCTGGTTGGGCAGAGATGAGGACAGGTGTGTTGTTTGGCTTCCTCCCAGTTAAAGCGGGTCTAAAGATACTGTGAATTTCTCGCATTAGAAAGTTCTAGCTCATTGGGAAGAATATAGCAATTAGAAGAAGTAAGGGAAAGAGTTGAAAGTCAGAGTTGGGAGGACGGCGAGGAGACGAGCGAGCTGGAGTCTGGGGCGTGAAGCAAAGTTGTTCAGATGCCGGTAAAATGCTTGGAGTCGTCTGCCCGAGATCCGAGTAAGTTCTCAGATGTGGCAGGAGAATTCCGTGGGCGATTGACCTCTGAAATCGGAGACAAATGGATGGTTATCTCCCCTAGTTTCTAAAACTGAGGTTTAGCGAAGGGCGTGATGAGCCCATCGCGTGTCAGCTTTTAACCGTAAAGAGCGTGTTCTCACCCGTGGCGGTGGCCTCAGGCTGGGGTCACCCTTGGCGGCGAGGTCTGTGTCCCTTTGTCGCTGCAGCGGCCGCCGGGCCGGGGACTCCGGTGCCGAGTGCAAACCCTTCGCTCTGTGTCGCTGCAGGGTGGACTACGTGGACTCCTTGGGGCGGTCCCGGCGCTGCATGAGGAAGGATCTGCCGGATCTGCTGGAGATGGATAAAAATCTTCAGGGCAGACTGTGAGTACTGACGCGCAGGGTGGGTCCAGGTCTGCAGGGCAGCGCGGGAGCTGTTTTGCGGGAGAGGCTGTTGGATGATTATTCTGTTGCTCCAGTAGGAGAACTTTTTTTAATGTATAACAATATTTATCGGCTGGGCGCAGTCACTCACGCCTGTCATCCCAGCACTCTGGGAGGCTGAGGTGGGAGGATCGCTCGAGGTCAGGAGTTCGAGAGCAGCCTGGGCAACATAGCGAGACCCCACCTCTACAGAAAATGAGAAACATTAGCCGAGCATGGCGGCGCATGCCTGTGGTCCCAGCTACTCGGGAGGCTGAGGCAGGAGGATCGCTTGAGCCCAGGAGTCGGAGGTTGCTGTGAGCTAGGCTGACGCCACGGCACTCACTCTAGCCCGGGCGACAGAGTGAGACTCTGTCTCAAAAAAAAAAAAAGAAAAAGAATATTTACTGAAGAACTTTTCAGCAGTTTGCACGTACATAATCCACAGCCTAGAACAACCTGAATGGTCGATCGTCTACGTTGTGCGTCTCCTAAAGGGACGAGTAGAGCTGTTAACGTGTCTGTTTCCTCGGAAGGATGTCGAATCGCAGAGTAACACATCAAACCAACAGAGCAGCTCTTGTGGAGAAAGGGGTTTGAGAATAGACACTTGGCTCTCACGCAAGCAGGTGGGGCTAGGGAGGTCGTTAGCTAATTTACTTTTTCTCCCTGTCTTTGCGTTTTTGAAGTAAGAACCTTAGAACTAGATTTTTCTGCGTGGCCCGAGACAGACCCAAGAGATAACTTGGTTATCTCGTCCCTGGACGAGAGACGGTCGGAGGAGGCCTGGAGCCCCCCTCCCTGCCTGGGCCTCCTGTCCGCTCGGCTGGGACTGGGTGGGCAGGGCCGGTATTTGCCCCGAGCGCCGCGGCGGGGTCCGGTTGCGCGAACGCAACGGGCCTGCTATGTGGCTGAGAAAGGCGAAACCCGCTCTGTCCGTTTCCCGGGGTGCCGCGGATCCGGTAGTGTTGCCCGTCCGTGATCTGGCCGCCGGCACGGAAGCGCCGACGCCCCACAGTCCTCGTCTAAGACGGTGTTTGCTCTTGTTTCCCGCTAGCTTCGTCAGCCCTGCCAACGAGAAGGCCCTGCTGTCGGAAGACATGAGACGGGAGCTGCAGCGCCAGCAGTGGGAGGAGGAGGAAAGGGAGGCTCTGCAGAGGCCGGTGGGGCCCGTGCACTACGCGGACGTCCGGGAGAACGGTGCGGTTGTCCCTCGCGGCTTTTTGAGTCGTTTTTAATCTCGAACGAGTGGCAGACGTAAAGCAGCAGCCCTTAGACAGAAACGAAAGACTGTGCTTCCGAAATTGAAAACACCTCCTTCGCTCGCTTGATAGCCTGGGAAATGCTCGTGTGGGGATGTCTGTCTAGCAGAGGGCCTGTTAGCGTAGGCGTTTGTTTTCCCGAGAGAAGCGGAGACAGACAGCCCACGGCTGGAAATCGCCGAGTCTCTGCGGCGCTGGTCGTCCAGCGAGAGGAAAGCTCGCTCTCACGCTTCTGTCTTTGCGCAGCTGCTTGCCTTTCTCCTCTAAAACCCGCGCCAGACACCACCGTGCCGCTCTCCGCTCTGGCAGGAAATCTGGCGCGAGGGTAGTTCACCGATCAGGGAGATCTAATCTCTTGGGCGATTTTCCCTTATTTCAGAGGCCCGGCAACTCGGCGTTGGCTATTTCGCCTTTGCCCAAGACAAAGAGCTGAGAAACAAGCAGATGAAAACTTTGGAGATGCTGCGTGAACAGGTACGCGTTCCGTTCAGAGTCGGTGTCGAGAAGGCTCTGAGCGTTTGGTTTCTTGTTGGATGTACTGGAAGAAAAAAAAACAAAAAACCAAAAACCTAGTAAATTAATTAGGAATTAAAATTGATACTCCAAATGTCATTCATTGCAGGTTGCATACAGCTAATCGCTGGACTATTTTGGTGTTTCACACTTTAGAACTATTCCCGAGTAACCTCTGTAACTTGATGTCTTAAATCTGGTTTCCAATCTGGCACTGTTGGCGTGGGTGGAAAACAGGAGGTTACTTAAGGGATCAAGGGTAAAACACGGTCGGTTGGGATTTTTGAACGTTAAAGCTTTCAAGATACTCTTCGAACTCTTACTAAGCTTGACGAGACATCAGGGGGCTCATATAAGAGGACCTGCGTTTTGAGGGTCTCAAGGAGAGCTTCGTAGAGATGGCCTGAAAATCAGTTAATTAGTCTATTTTTAGAGGGAAAATTATTTGCTCCTTTTGAATAGAAATACCATGAATTTGGCTTCCAGCAAATAATTTTCTAATTTTCTGTTCAGACAACAGATCAGAGGACGAAACGAGAAAACATAAAGGAGAAGCGAAAGGCCATCTTAGAAGCAAGACTCGCCAAACTTCGGAAGAAAAAGATGAAAAAATCACAAGAAGATGGAGCGGAAGGAGGAGGAGGTAGATCGTGGCTCACATTTCTGGACCTCGAAAGGGCAAATTTTGGTTCCGTTGACGTCTTGCTAATGGGGCTGGCAGTGTGGAAATTAGCCGTTTGGTTTTATGTCTGAGCAAACAGCGTTCCTTCGGTGACTGCCGGGAGCCATTCTTGGAACCAAAGGGATGTAGGATGACGTCCAGTGTTTTTAGGGCTTAGACAAGGGCATTAAAAACAGTGCATCGGGTTGCTTCTTAGAGCGGCACAGCCTGGTCATCGAGACTTAGAGAACAGGTACTTTAAATAAAAGTTGAGTTGTTGTGTACATAGACGTTTTAGACTTAAATTCTTTTTCTGTGGCTGCAAGGTTTTTTTTTTTTTTCTTTTTGAGACA